ATGAGCAGTTCTAGCCGTGCCTGAGCATAGTGCTTCCTTCCACCGGCTTGGAGGGCTTCCAAGAACTGCCTTGTCTTGCCCGAAAGCTCACTTGTTTTATGAGGAGTCTTAACTGAAACTAAATGTCTCTTAACAGCCTCTGGAGAGGAACAGTCTCAGCAAACTCTATCCCTGCATGTGCAATAAGAACAAGAGTTGGATCGGGTACTGTAGGCAAAGCAAAAACACTAATGAGATCTGCCTCTCCAGAGGAACAGGCTTGTGAGCTCTGCACAGAGCAGTGTAGGTCTGACTGACACATCCAGAGCAGCGATATTCTACAGCCTCCATGTCTCACTGCCTTCTTGTGCAGAGTGGCTGGAGCCTCCACACAAACCTCTGTGTAAACAGAGGCCAAAGATTAGCTGCTAGAGTGAAATCTGCTCCGCAACACCTTTCTGACACCTGCAACATTGAATCCAGAGCTACAATTTACCTGTTGTCCCTAGAGCCGACCAGGGTTCAGGAGAGATCTTATCCCAGGCAATCACTAGAAGCGGGACTGCGGCTCACCTGCAGCTCAGTGAGGACAAAGCCACCTCTAGCTGCCATCACAAGCCAATTAAACCAAAAAGTGTGGCTACTTGAAAGAGGTGGGGCCACAACTTGCACCCCCAGTGCAGCAGCCTTCCCAGGCTAAATGTCCAGGTACCTCTTTGGACACATCCCTGTCCTTACCTTGCCCAGGGCAGTCCCAGCTCACACTAGCTTGCTGAAAGCTTTCAAGCTGTGACTCACCAACACTCTCGGCATGTCTTTCCAAACCCCCCAAAGGCTTTTGGCTCCAACCACTGATTTCTGTCAGATTTCAGAAGAGCAGATAGAGATGGGTGTCTGGTGCTAAAAAAAATCCCAAACCCTAGAAGCAATAACAGAGGTGTAATTTGTTGTGGGATTAATTCTTCCACCTCACTGCAAAACTTAATGAGCCAAAGTAAATATTTCATTCCTCCTGTCACACTGTGTTTATTTACCATGAGCTGCCTGCCTGAGATAGGATTGATAGATACAGAGCTCCTGTGCCCAGAGCTTATCCAATACGTTAATGTCCCGAAAGACTTTGATCCCATCCATCACATCCCAAAGCACTGTGAGCTCTCTGGTGGGAGGAGAGGCAAAATCCAGGAAGCTGCAGCATGTGAGCCAGG